AAAAGGCTAAAGGAAAAATCAGAGGGGTGAGCTAGACCTACTACGTAGGGGCCCGTTGGGCCCGCCATCATAGGTCAGGGCCTTCCCAGTGCTACTCAGTTCTTTCCCACAAGGGGGTAATGAGGGCACGGAAGGGGTATAAATTGGGGTATTTTTTGACTGAGGGAACAAAAGGGTAACAGAAATAATAAAGGGGAACAAGCAATGTTGAGGATATCAACCAAGACAGGACCTCACGATAAAAAATAAGATTTCGTTTGGTTTTTTAAACCCCGGGGGGTTACCACCCAGGATAACCCAAGAAATCAGTGCTTCATCGAGGACTGTAAAATTTTTCCATTGGGGGCCTTAATCTTTTCCCCCCGGGTGGACCCACACCGCACTAACACCCCGGTACCTACTTGCTGCTAGGTAAAAAAGGACAACGTAAAGGAAACGTGTCGAATGTTTCCACTCGCCCCGGGGAAACGAACCCGGGCTCCGGGGGTGAAGGGGAGCTTTAGCCACCCGGGCCCCCGGGACGCCAGGATTAAATTGGGAAAAAATTTGATTTAGAAAGGATAGAGGGAAAAAATGTTTGGCACGAGATATTGAAGAGTGGAAAAAAACCCCGGGTAGAGAACTGAAAAGAAACTTTTTTGGGAGCTTCAAAAACAGGTTGGCAAGTACAGAGTGGGGGTTGGTGGGGAAGTACATGGTGGGGGGTTTTGGGCAAGTACAGATGGGGTTGGGGGTAAGTACATGAGTGGGTTGGTGGTAAGTTAGGTGGGGTTTGGGGGGGTAAGTACATGAATTTAGGTTTGGGGGGAAAATACATGAGTGGGTTTGGGGGGTAAGTCATAGTGGGGTTGGGGGGTAAGTACAGAGGGGGGTTGTTGGGGGGAAGTACATGAATGGGGTTGGTGGGTAAGTACATGAGTGGGGATGGGGTAAATACATGATGGGATTGGGGGTAAATACATATGGGGTTTGGGGGGGGAAGTACATGATTGGGGGTTGGGGGTAAGTACATGGTGGGTTGGTGGGGAAAGAATAGTAGGGGGGGTGGGGGAAGACATGATGGGGGTTTATGGCAAATCATGAGTGGGGTTTGGGTGGGGGGGTGGAGTTGGACTTCCCAGCATGGCTCAGTAGGCCAGCTGTAATCATCCTTCTTTTTTAATGTACTTTTGTTCTTATTTTAGGTTAGTTAAAGTCTAATAACCAAATTTGTACTATTATAACATACAATAACACAGAGAAATTAATTAAAATTTAAATATGAGACAAGACAGCAGCGGTTGTCAATCATTTCTCAGTGATGGCATCGACTGTAAGTCACATATCTTATTCTGTGACTCCCGTAGTTAACTCTCTATTGTAAACCCTTCCCACGAGTATTTACCCAATAATAATAATAATAATAATAATAATAATAATAATAATAATAATAATAATAATAATAATAATAATAATAGGGTAGGGGTGGCCTGGGAAAAGGGTTGGAGGAGGGGAAAAGGGAGGTTTTGTGGGGCGAGGGCTTGGACTTCCCGGGCATGCGTGACGTGTTTGATAGAGTGAATGGAGACAAATGGTTTTTAATACTTGACGTGCTGTTGGAGTGTGAGCAAAGTAAAATTTATGAAGGGGTTCAGGGAAACCGGCAGGCCGGACTTGAGTCCTGGTGATGGGAAGTACAGTGTCTGCACTCTGAAGGAGGAGTGTTAATGTTGCAGTTTAAAAACTGTAGTGTAAAGCACCCTTCTGGCAAGACAGTGATGGAGTGAATGATGGTGTAAGTTTTTCTTATTCTGGACCACCCTGCCTTGGTGGGAAGCGGCCGATGTGTTAATAAAAAAAATAATAAAACATATAAGCGCATAAAACACATACGAAACATAAAATATACTTAACCATTAACGATCACAATAAAATAAATAAAACTTGAAACTAACTTGTCTTCGGTAACTTTTTTTAAGTAAGATAAGTAAGTAAGATCCTTTTAATATTAGGTGAAATATTTGGACAGACATTCCCTCATTTTTTCCTCGACCGACTGTAGCCTTTAATTGTTAGTTTTTATGTTCATGAGCACAGAAAACCCCAACTTTTTATGTTCATGAGCACAGAAAACCCCAACTTTTTATGTTCATGAGCACAGAAAACCCCAACTCACACAGATAAGATGTGGAAAATTGCATGAGAATTACCAGTTTTTTTTCTCAACTTGAGGATATTCAGTCTTAATCTCCATCCAGAATTCGCCCAGAAATACGTAATGATCGCCATCATTACGTATTTCAATTAATTCTTTATCTTCTGAGAGATTTAACTTTGACGGTTTTGATACTAACGAAACAAATGAGTTTCTCAACTACTCATAATCTTCCTAAAAATAATTGGGATATAATATAATTTTTTTTTTTTTGCAAGTACTTCAAGGTGTCTTTTAATCTTGGTTGCAGCAACATGTGGGAATAAATCCAGGTTGTTTTCCTTCACTTTGACAGCCCATATTTTTAATTTATCACTCAGAGCATTAATTTTTGTCAGTGGAAGATAACATATTTTTTATGAGTTGTCTTGCATGTTGAAATTTACCTTGTTTGAGTGTTCATTGATATCCGCTAAGTAGGATAATTTTAAAGAGCAAGTGTCATCTGCAAGCATAAAATAACATTTTTGTTGTTGCTCAAGTGAAGAAAAAATAACTTACCCTTGAGTTTTTCACTCATGATAACACTGCCTCTGGATAGCCATCGTGCCTCCGTGTACACAACATTCACTCATGATAACACTGCCTCTGGATAGTCATCGGCCTCCGTGGGACACAACATTTACTCATGATAACACTGCCTCTGGATAGTCATCGTGCCTCCGTGTACACAACATTCACTCATGACAACACTGCCTCTGGATAGTCATCGTGCCTCCGTGTACACAACATTCACTCATGATAACACTGCCTCTGGATAGTCATCGTGCCTCCGTGACACAACAATCACCCATGATAACACTGCCTCTGGATAGTCATCGTGCCTCCGTGCACAGAAGATTCATTCACTCATGATAACACTGCCTCTGGATAGTCATCGTGCCTCCGTGTACACAACATTCACTCATGATAACACTGCCTCTGGATAGTCATCGTGCCTCCGTGCACAGAAGATTCATTCACTCATGATAACACTGCCTCTGGATAGTCATCGTGCCTCCGTGCACAGAAGATTCATTCACTCATGATAACACTGCCTCTGGATAGTCATCGTGCCTCCGTGTAAAAGAAGATTCATTCACTCATGATAACACTGCCTCTGGATATCATCGTGCCTCCGTGTACAGAAATTTATTCACTCATGATAACACTGCCTCTGGATAGTCATCGTGCCTCCGTGCACAGAAGATTCATTCACTCATGATAACACTGCCTCTGGATAGTCATCGTGCCTCCGTGTACAGAAGATTCACTCATGATAACACTGCCTCTGGATAGTCATCGGCCTCCGTGTACACAACCCTTCACTCAATGATAACACTGCCTCTGGATAGTCATCGTGCCTCCGTGTACACAACATTCACTCATGATAACACTGCCTCTGGATAGTCATCGTGCCTCCGTGTACACAACATTCACTCATGATAACACTGCCTCTGGATAGTCATCGTGCCTCCGTGTACACAACATTTACTCATGACAACACTGCCTCTGGATAGTCATCGTGCCTCCGTGTACACAACATTCACTCATGATAACACTGCCTCTGGATAGTCATCGTGCCTCCGTGCACAGAAGATTCATTCACTCATGATAACACTGCCTCTGGATAGTCCCTCGTGCCTCCGTGTACAGAAATTCATTCACTCATGATAACACTGCCTCTGGATAGTCATCGTGCCTCCGTGTACAGAAGATTCATTCACTCATGATAACACTGCCTCTGGATAGTCATCGTGCCTCCGTGTACACAACAATTTACCAGATAACACTGCCTCTGGATAGTCATCGTGCCTCCGTGTACACAACATTCACTCATGATAACACTGCCTCTGGATAGTCATCGTGCCTCTGTGTACAGAAGATTCATTCACTCATGATAACACTGCCTCTGGATAGTCATCGTGCCTCCGTGTACAGAAGATTCATTCACTCATGATAACACTGCCTCTGGATAGTCATCGTGCCTCCGTGTACAGAAGATTCATTCACTCATGATAACACTGCCTCTGGATAGTCATCGTGCCTCCGTGTACACAACATTCACTCATGATAACACTGCCTCTGGATAGTCATCGTGCCTCCGTGTACACAACATTCACTCATGATAACACTGCCTCTGGATAGTCATCGTGCCTCAGTGTACACAACATTCACTCATGATAACACTGCCTCTGGATAGTCATCGTGCCTCCGTGTACAGAAGATTCACTCATGATAACACTGCCTCTGGATAGCCATCGTGCCTCCGTGTACACAACATTCACTCATGATAACACTGCCTCTGGATAGTCATCGTGCCTCCGTGTACAGAAGATTCACTTATGCTTTGCTCTAATTTCATCACATAGTCTGCCAAACAGTCGTGATTTAAATGGCCTACTTTTTCTACAACTTTGTCTAGTACAACTTTCAACTTATTGCCGACTGTTCTTCCAACCAGCACCTCACGATGGACGGAGCAATGTGTTTTTATGACATGTGTTGTAATGACGAAGCTACGACAAATTACTAACACTCTTACAGCACCCCTGGGCACACTAACAGTGGCTCACTAGGGTGCCGCGGCACCCTGCTTGAAAAACAGTTCTATACAGGATATTGAACTCTTGATGCGCGAACAGGAGACTAGATAACATAACATCAGTGTTATGGAATACCGACAAGTTTAACGTAACAACGAATTGTCTGGGGCAAAATCTCTGTGCTCGCATTTTAGTGTTACAATCTTGTCAGCCGAATTATTTTTCTTTCAATTCTAACTTTCCACATTTACAGTGATAATAATTTATATTTATAACTGCAGGTGTGATGATGTGCTGAGAGACAGAGCTGCTACATACTGCTCTACACAAACACCTCAGAGGATCAGCAAGAAGTAGGTGACGTCAAAGACACTCGCGAGGTAAACCATCTGTACTGAACCCTCACAGAAACATGATATACCGGTTATCTCGCTTCATCCCCGGGGCCATCACCAGGCTGCTGGTGGCCATCATGCTGAAGGGCGCCGAGCGGCACGACTATGATGCCTCAAACAGGCTTCTTCAGCAGTACGACTTCATTATCGGTAAGCAGCCCATTGTCACAGATGTGAAAGTGTTTGAAATACGTTCAGCCACTGCGCTGACGGACGGGTCGCCGCTCTTTTGTTATTAATTTATTACTTAGTGTTTAAAAATTCTTTTCTATAAATATATGTTACCCAACAAAACACAGTACAACTTACCCTAACTTAAACACAAGTATAGTATGTGAATAATTGCAAAAAAAAGTCGAAGATGTTTGTTTAGATAAATAACTAGTTTTGTTATGTTACAATAACAACAGAAAAATATACATAAGCGTCAGTGACTTATGTATGAAGTGTTTTATGAATAAATACCAAAAAAATCAAAATATTGACTACTTAAGAGGGCTGAGCTTGCTACCATCTGCAGCTCATAAGACTGCCATCCCCACGAGCCCCTTTGAGGCGGGGTAGATGGCAGACCAGAGGCCTAGCTTCTCCCTACGAGCCCCGTGAGGGCGGGGAATGTGGCTAGGCCTGGGGACACTTGGTCCCAAAGATGAGGAGGTACTGTACCTCCTCCCATGGGAGACTTAAGTCTCGAGACACTCCCCAGATAGGGAGCCAAGGCCGGGTCACCACTACTTGGAAAAGACCCGGGCCGGGAGAATACCGGCGAATAAAAAAAAAAAAAAAAAATTGACTACTTAACTACTTTGTAAAATTATCCATTATTGTTAATTTTTGTAAAATTATTCATTATTGATAATTTCCTTCACCGAAATACTAAATTAGTTAATAATTCTAATCTACTTTACTAAGAATGTTATTCACACTGAAATATAGTATTAAACAGCTAATTTGTCTTTGAAGTGTGCCTTTTCCAGCTAAAAATATAGAATTTCTTAATGAAGCATAGCTTTCTCCACCAAAATATAGTGTAGCCTTACCCACAGAAACATAACTTTCTCCACTGAAATATAAATTCACCCAACGAAACTACTTTCTCCTTCGTAATAAAACTTTAACTACTTAAACTTAGCTTTCTCCACCAAAATATAGCTTTACCCACCGAAACATAACTTTCTCCTCTGAAATATAGATTTTTCCCATTGAAACATAGCTTTCTCACCCGAAATATAGCTTTGCCCACTGAAATATAGCTCTCTTCACCGAAATGTAGTTTTTCAATTGAAATATAGCTTTCTCCACCGAAATATAATTTTCCCACTGAAATATAGCTTTTCCCACTAATATATAGCTTTCTCCACTGAAATATAGCTTTTCCCACTGAAACATAACTTTTCCCACTGAAATATAACTTTTTCCACTGAAACATAGCTTTCTCCACCAAAATATAGCTTTTCCACTGAAACATAGCATTCTCCACCGAAATATAGCTTTTCCCACTGAAATATAGCTTTTCCCACTAAAATATAGCTTTCTCCACTGAAATATAACTTTTCCCACTGAAACATAACTTTTCCCACTGAAATATAACTTTTTCCACTGAAACATAGCATTCTCCACCGAAATATAGCTTTTCCCACAGAAGCATAGCTTTCTATACCGAAATATAGCTTTTCCCACTGAAACATAGCTTTCTCCATTGAAACATAGCTTTCTCCACTGAAACATAGCTTTCTCCACTGAAACATAGCTTTCTTCACCGAAATATAGCTTTTACCACTGACATATAACTTTCTTCGTTAAATCACAGTACATTGTGATATAAAAATTATTTTCCCAAGAGAATCATCGCCTTTCTTTCCAAATGAAAAATTTTTCTTGGGAAACTTCACTCCTTTAATGAGAAAAATTTTCGCTAAAAACATTCTAGTCCCATCTGGGATACATTACATTTCTCATCTGATACTTAACATTTCTCATCTGATGTATAACATTTCTCATCTGATACATAACATTTCTCATCTGATACTTAACATTTCTCATCTGATGTATAACATTTCTCATCTGATATATAACATTTCACATCTGATGTGTAACATTTCTCATCTGATGTATAACATTTCTCATCTGATACTTAACATTTCTCATCTGATGTATAACATTTCTCATCTGATGTATAACACTTCTCATCTGATGTATAACATTTCTCATCTGATGTATAACATTTCTCATCTGATGTGTAACATTTCTCATCAGATGTATAACATTTCTCATCTGATGTATAACATTTCTCATCTGATGTATAACATTTCTCATCTGATGTATAACATTTCTCATCTGATGTGTAACATTTCTCATCTGATACATAACATTTCTCATCTGATACTTAACATTTCTCATCTGATGTATAACATTTCTCATCTGATATATAACATTTCACATCTGATGTGTAACATTTCTCATCTGATGTATAACATTTCTCATCTGATACTTAACATTTCTCATCTGATGTATAACATTTCTCATCTGATGTATAACACTTCTCATCTGATGTATAACATTTCTCATCTGATGTAAACATTTCTCATCTGATGTGTAACATTTCTCATCTGATGTATAACATTTCTCATCTGATGTATAACATTTCTCATCTGATGTATAACATTTCTCATCTGATGTATAACATTTCTCATCTGATGTGTAACATTTCTCATCTGATGTATAACATTTCTCATCTGATGTATAACATTTCTCATCTGATGTATAACATTTCTCATCTGATGTATAATATTTCTCATCTGATGTGTAACATTTCTCATCTGATGTATAACATTTCTCATCTGATGTATAACATTTCTTCATCTGATTATGTAAACATTTCTCATCTGATGTATAACATTTCTCATCTGATGTATAACATTTCTCATCTGATGTATAACATTTCTCATCTGATGTATAATATTTCTCATCTGATGTATAACATTTCACATCTGATATATAACATTTCTCATCTGATGTATAACATTTCTCATCTGATGTATAACATTTCTCATCTGATGTATAACATTTCACATTTGATATATAACATTTCTCATCTGATGTATAACATTTCTCATCTGATGTATAACATTCTCTCATTGATGTATAACATTTCTCATCTGATGTATAACATTTCTCATCTGATGTATAACATTTCTCATCTGATGTATAACATTTCTCATCTGATGTACATTTCTCACTAAAACATCGCGATATGAAACAGTAGAGCCCAGTTTTAATACTATACAGTGAGGTTTTAATATAAGCAGAGGTGCCACAATGATAAGCAGGGTGCCACAATGATAAGCAGAGGTGCCACAATGATAAGCAGGGTGCCACAATGATAAGCAGGGTGCCACAATGATAAGCAGGGTGCCACAATGATAAGCAGGGTGCCACAATGATAAGTAGGGGTGCCACAATGATAAGCAGGGGTGCCACAATGATAAGCAGGGTGCCACAATGATAAGCAGGGGTGCCACAATGATAAGCAGGGGTGCCACAATGATAAGCAGGGGTGCCACAATAAGCAGGGGTGCCACAATCATAAGCAGAGTGCCACAATGATAAGCAGGGGTGCCACAATGATAAGCAGGGGTGCCACAATGATAAGCAGGGGTGCCACAATGATAAGCACTGGTGCCACAATGATAAGCAGGGGTGCCACAATAAGCAGGGGTGCCACAATCATAAGCAGGGTGCCACAATGATAAGCAGGGGTGCCACAATGATAAGCAGGGGTGCCACAATAAGCAGGGGTGCCACAATCATAAGCAGGGTGCCACAATGATAAGCAGGGGTGCCACAATGATAAGCAGGGGTGCCACAATGATAAGCAGGGGTGCCACAATGATAAGCAGGGGTGCCACAACGATAAGCAGGGGTGCCACAATCATAAGCAGAGTGCCACAATGATAAGCAGGGTGCCACAATGATAAGCAGGGTGCCACAATGATAAGCAAGGGTGCCACAATGATAAGCAAGGGTGCCACAATGATAAGCAAGGGTGCCACAATGATAAGCAGGGTGCCACAATGATAAGCAGGGTGCCACAATGATAAGCAGGGTGCCACAATGATAAGCAGGGTGCCACAATGATAAGCAGGGTGCCACAATGATAAGCAGGGGTGCCACAATGATACGCAGGGTGCCACAATGATAAGCAGGGTGCCACAATCATAAGCAGAGTGCCACAATGATAAGCAGGATGCCACAATGATAAGCAGGGGTGCCACAATGCTAAGCAGGGTGCCACAATGATAAGTAGGGTGCCACAATGATAAGCAGGGTGCCACAATCATAAGCAGGGTGCCACAATGAAAAGCAGGGTGCCACAATGAAAAGCAGGGGTGCCACATTGAAAAGCAGGGGTGTCATAATGAAAAGCAGGGGTGCCACAATGATAAGTAGGGGTGTCATAATGAAAAGCAGGGGTGCCACAATGATAAGTAGGGGTGTCATAATGAAAAGCAGGGGTGCCACAATGAAAAGCAGGGGTGTCATAATGAAAAGCAGGGCTGCCACAATGAAAAGCAGGGGTGTCATAATGAAAAGCAGGGGTGCCACAATGATAAGTAGGGGTGTCATAATGAAAAGCAGGGGTGCCACAATGAAAAGCAGGGGTGTCATAATGAAAAGCAGGGGTGCCACAATGAAAAGCAGGGGTGTCATAATGAAAAGCAGGGGTGCCACAATGATAAGTAGGGGTGTCATAATGAAAAGCAGGGGTGCCACAATGAAAAGCAGGGGTGTCATAATGAAAAGCAGGGGTGCCACAATGAAAAGCAGGGGTGTCATAATGAAAAGCAGGGGTGCCACAATGAAAAGCAGGGGTGCCACAATGAAAAGCAGGGGTGCCACAATGAAAAGCAGGGGTGCTACAATGAAAAGCAGGGGTGCTATAATGAAAAGCAGGGGTGCCACAATGAAAAGCAGGGGTGCCACAATGAAAAGCAGGGGTGCCACAATGAAAAGTAGGGGTGCCACAATGAAAAGCAGGGGTGCCACAATGAAAGGCAGGGGTGCCACAATGAAAAGTAGGGGTGCCACAATGAAAAGCAGGGGTGCTACAATGAAAAGCAGGGGTGCCACAATGAAAAGCAGGGGTGCCA